ATTATCCCAATGGTAATAATCAAAATTCATTTTCAAAAAATAGTTGCATAGGTACATATCAAGTAGCAGGAATCAGAAATAATGATTCTCCACAAGGTAAGAAGAATAAGTACCCTCCTAAGAGTAGCCCAGTTAATAAAAAACCAGTCAAAGAAAAGAGAGATTGTCTTTTCTGCAAGGGTACTCATTTTTCTAAGAATTGCATTGCATACAATTCATGGAATGAAAGATTGGAGGAACTTGACAGATGTATCAGGTGTTTGGGTAATCACAATGTAAAGGATTGTCATGCCAAATTAAACAACCGTTATCAATGTCACAAAGGAAGACACCATATAGTCATGTGTAAGGGTCTTTATGATAATGTTGATAATAATGATAATGTTGACAATCCTGACACAACAGTAGCTAATGTAAAAATTGCTGCTAATGTTAATAATGATGGTTTTGCTGAAGTAGCCTTACCTGTGTTACAGGTAAAAATTGATGATAAAAGGCATAAATAAAAAAATGTAAATGCATTATTGGACCAAGGATCCCAGCGTACTTTCATAAAACGTAAATGTCTTGATGGTATGAAAGTACAGATGGGAGATCCCACAACTTTAAAATTATCTGGTTTTCTCTCAGATAAAAGAGCTCAATTGTATGGACACTGCTTATGTAACTGTCAGGTTGGGGCAATGAGAAAAAAACGTGTTAATAGCAGTAATTGTAGATAGACTTCCAGAGAAAATATCTACAGTAGGGCTTAGTAATGCTACAGAAAGACTTTCACATAATGTAAATTTAGCACCTTCTGGTGTAAGTGATGATTCTGTAGGCCCAATAAATATTTTGATAGGTAGTGACTATTATGCCTCCTTTGTAAAGGGTATGGTAAAAAAAATGTGGTGTCCCCTTTTAAAGACTGAAGGGGGCCATGAAAATGTATGGAGGATTCCTCTTTATAATAATTCAGACGGGGGAAATAAAAAATACCAAAACTGTGTCTTCTCATAAATCGTACCCCAGTATAATTCTTCCCATGAGGTTGGTGTTGAGCCAGTGCAAAAAATTGGGGGGAATTGACAGCATTGAAAAAAATATAAATGAAGAAAGTCCAGACGTTTCTTTTACCGGAGCAATACCTGAGGATGTAAAATTTAAATCTGGCAATACGGGGTACGATTTCCCGGGGACTAAACCCCACCAAATTTGGGGCCCACTAATTACAGTGGCATAGGGGCAGTTAAAGGCTCAGCCCCGCGAATTTGAGAAAAACACCAGAATTTTTAAAATCCCCTTAATATATAATTTGAGAGAGTTTAATTTAAATAAATTTTGAAGAGGTACTCCGAGAAAGTCAAATTTATGGTTATATTTGCCACACCCCACGGAGTGAAGAAGGTTTTCTAAGACCACTCCTTTTGGGGGATTGTGTTTAATTGTAGGCCAGGAGTAACAAAAATGTACCTATTTTAAATGACTGTTGAGACGGCCCGTCTTTGACAGAAAATTGGAGATATTTTATTTAAATTTCGAGTGAAGCATTATGCCTTTATGGCTGACTAAGAAAGCTTTCCAAAGGGGGGGGGGGGGGTTTTTAAAAAAGGGCTGACCGGGGTTTGTACCCGCTTCTTATGGCCTGAGAACCTAGTGACCCACCTACCCCCTCTAAAAAACCTTTCGCTTTAGTAGCGTATTATTTGGGGGTCACCCCAGTCCCTCCTACTTCAAGCGCGATAAATGCACACCCTTTAAAATATGGAAAGTCCATTGGAGTAAAGTAATGACAAAAAAAATTTTTTTTGGGGACAATTTCCTGGGGGGACGTCAACTGAAAAGGGAAGGGTTAAAGACTTATGGAAGCAAAAAAATAATGCAAAGTGCAAATATGCCTCTGAGGGAAAGGAAAAGTAATTCGTCCCAAAATTTAAAATTTAAATTTTAAATTCAAATTCAAAAGTTTATTCTCTAAAGATTTTCAATGCTGAGTTTACAGAAAATTTTGGTTTTTTGTGGTTTACATGTAGTAAAAAAAAGTGATACAGAGTGTACCACGAACGCTTTTGCATGGTAGGCATTTTTGGGCAGACTTAGTTTTTTTCTTAATTTTAAAATTACAAATTATGGGTAAATTGGTATTTGGCTAAGTGACTAAATACTAGTTTGTGGTTTAGCAATGTGAATGCTTTTGTTTTGGCACGTACATAGTTTCAGTATTGGGATATCACAGGATTCATTATTTTTGTTGAGATTAATATTTCTGTTTATGGTCAAAAAAGAGTGAGTGAGTGAAGTGTGAACCACCAGGTGGTTGGTAGTTAGTTGCGGGGTGTATCAGGGACAAATAAGTAAAGATTTTCCCTGGAAATGAAGTGCCAAAAGGTAGTAATGTATTTGGGTTTAATTGGGGTACTGAGAGGAGATTTGTTAATTTAAAACCAATAATTACTATGCCCCAAAAAAATTAACTAAAAGGGGTTTTGTTGCTGAAGTTTTTTCCAAAAGTTTTGTCCACTAGGGTTTTGTGTCACCCCTTACTATAAAAAGGGGGAAATTATTAAAATTTAGGAAGCTGGAAACTTAAAAAGTGCTGGATGAAATTCTACCTGAGGGTTTTAAAGGTGGGATGAATTAATTGGTGATTATGAGAAAATTCCAATGTTGGAGTTCCCATGCCAGGTGGCCAATCAAAATAGGAAAAATGTACTCCACATTATTTGTGATGCTTCAAAATTGGCATATGGAGCAGTTGCTTACCTTCAATGTAATAGTGTGAACCTAAAGTCGGTTCCTGACCAGCCCGGCTGTGGCTCGTACGTTGGTTTGCATGCAGCCAGCAGCAACAGCCTGGTTGATCAGGCTCTGATCCACCAGGAGGCCTGGTCACAGACCGGGCCGCGGGGGCGTTGACCCCCGGAACTCTCTCCAGGTAAACTCCAGTGTTATTTCTCTTGTTATATCTAAGGCTAAAGTGTCTCCACTTAAATCACGTACCTTGCCTTAGTTGGAATTAACAGCCATTTATGTAGGTGTCAAATTAGCTAATTATATAAGAAATAAGTTGCAGGAGATAAACATTAGCTACACTGTAATTTGGTCTGATAATGAGGTATCCTTACAATGGATTCGTAATGTAAACAGTAAAATTGTGTACGTACAAAACAGAGTCGCTGAAATTAATCAGATGCAAGAGAAGTATAATAGTTTGGGTCAGCATATGTTAACATTTAATCATATACCTGGTGAGGAGAATCCAGCTGATTTCTTGTCTCGAGGTTTAACTTATGCTAAATTTGTAAATGCTGTATCATGGTTTAAAGGACCGAGCTGGTTGGTAAATAAAGCTAATTGGCCTGTACAAAAGGCGTATATTGCTCCTGTTGAAATTACTGTGACCACCGCTCCAATAGTTTGTCCTCCCTTAGCCATTGATATAAATAGGTATTCTTCTTTACCCAAACTAATCAATGTAACTAAGTTGGTGTTTAAATTTCTAAACAAGATGAATATATTTCATTTAAGTTTTCACATCCTCTTGAATATTGGATAAAGAGGGTACAGGAGGAAATCTATGGAAATGAGATTAAATTGATGATGGAAAGAAAAATTGTGAAGGTTCCATAATAGAGAAATTGGGGCTGTATTTAGAGAACAATGTAATTAGGTGCAGAGGTAGGTTACAAAATGCTGAATTGGGTGATTATGCTAAACATCCTATCTTACTGCCCAAAACTCATCGTCTAACAAATTTAATTGTTCTAAATGCCCATAAAAATGTAATGCATGGTGGGGTACAAGATACCTTAAATTGTATTAGGGAAACTTTCTGGATTCCACAAGGACGGCAAAGTGTAAAAAGGGTGATTAAATCTTGTGTAATATGTCGCCGTGTGGATGCCAGATCCTATGTGTACCCAGGTCCTCCACCATTGCCAAATGAGCAATTTGAGTCGTTTAGCAACAAACTCCGCCCGGCCGCAGTGTGGAAAATACTGTATATATTTTCTGTAAATACGATAATTTTTAGGTAAATAGATGGCCTATATTGTATTTAATAAAAATTATATTATGGAAAATGGGAAACTGAGCCTGCACCTGCGCAGAAAGACAGTCACCATTTTTGTTTTTGAATTGGAGTAACATACATTAGTAATGGGAAGAAATTTTCGTGCTCTAGAGGTTAAAATTGGGCTGACACCTCTCAAATAGGAGGTGAAATTGTTGGATGTGCATTACTGCATAATTTGAGTATCAGGCGACAGGACAGGACAACTCCAGGAACCTCAGATAAGCTGTCTAATTTATGTTTAAATTCTGGCTAGTAAATTTTTCATAAATGTAGGCAAAAGGGGATGGGGGGTCCTGTACATGACACATTAATCTCCAGTCAAATTGGTGAGTGATTTTAAGATATTCTCCTTTTGTTATGTAAATGTTTATATATGTAATTCTTTATTAATTTAATATACAGTCCACCAAATTTATATATTTACCAGAATTCCTGGTGATGTATCTTTTATTTATAATTAATAGGTCCAGAGCAACTTGTGGATATGACAGTGGTAGGTATCGAAGGGGGACATTTTTTGCGACCTAGGTGTCTCAAATTCCTACTTGTCTAACTGATAAATAATAATTATCTTTGTTCATTTACTGTTATGTACATAATGATACATTCACATAAATGCAATTTTCCACAGGTGGTTTAGTGCCTTAGTTTTGATTATAATAATAATGTACTTTTGTGTACCTGTGCCTAAATAAACTTGTTAAATTAAGTTATTGTTATTATTATTATTATTATTATTATTATTATTAGTAGTAGTAGTAGTAGTAGTAGTAGTAGTAGTAGTAGCAGCAGTAGTAGTAGTAGTAGTAGTAGTAGCAGTAGCAGTAGTAGTAGTAGTAGCAGTAGCAGTAGCAGTAGTAGTAGCAGTAGTAGTAGTAGTATAGAAAGCAGCAAGTACCTCGACTTAGCTGCCATCTGTTGAGTATATATGTGAGACGCAGATGGCGCTGTGTAATGTGTCTCATTTATAACGTGAGTGTTGTTGCGCTGACCCGTCTCTCACTCTGTTGTTTCTCATCAGCTGCTGGCATCTCTCCTGCCCAGGAAATTTGCAATAATGGCATCTAAGGCGGTACAACCTTGTGTGGTGAGGAGTGTGATGGTGAGTGTGGCTGAGGGTGTGGTCTGGGTCAGGCCAGGTGTACCATGGTGTGACCCTGGCACTGACCGGCTCCTCTCCCACCCAATCTTGATGAACCTTACACCCTTCGAATGACCCTAGTGGGTTTAGTGCTTAGTTATGATTGTATCAATAATGATTATACCCTTTAAGTTGGTGGCTTAATGCTGGTCAGGAGCTTTTAATCCAAGGGGTTGAAGCTATCTTTTCTTCGGATCGAACTTTGTTGCCTCGGCACTCAGATGCTCTAAGACTTGTTTTGGGGAATTTAAAAAATAAATTTTTTAAAAAAGTACAGGGGTACAACTTGAAAAGGGGTTAGAAAATTTTAATCACGGGACAAAATTTTAAAAGAAAAACCTTGTTTTTTTGGGGGCCCCTTTTTTTCGGGAAAAAAAGGGGTTAAAAATTTTTTCCCCCAGGTTTGGGGGGCCCCCCACACAGTTGGGGAAAAAACCCCCCCGGGGTTTTACCAAATTTTACTGCTAGGTAAAACCGGGGGGGACCCCAGAGGGTTTTAAAGGGAAAAAACCTTTCCCCCAATTTTTTCCAAACCGAAACCAGGGTTTCAAACCACAAAATCTCAGTGGGGTGAGTTGGGGGTGCACTACCAGCAAAAGGTTTAGGGGGGGAAAAACCCTTTTTAGAGCTTGGGCTTCCCCCTTTTCCCCCTTTTCCCTTTCCCCCTGTGAATTTTTAACATTTAAAAAAACGGGGGTTTCAGCCCCCACTCCTCTTTTATTTAAAACTTTTCCTAAATGGGGGTTTGGTTCCCTTTAAACCCAAAAGGAATTAAAAACTGGTCTTTTTTAGACCCAAACCTGATTTTTGCCCACCCCCCCAGAATTAACCTTTTAAACCCCTATAAATTTATTTGCTCCCCTTCCCCGGGGACTGAAATTTAATTTTTTCCCAGTCCCCTTTATTTTAAATTTAAAAACCCCATTTTGGGGGACCCTTGGGGTTTTTTGGGGTTTTAATTGCTTTTTTTTTGGATTGTAAATTTTTAAACTTTTTTTTTCCCGGGGTCAGAATTTTTAAACCCATTTTTTTTTCTTTTTTAAAAAAAGGAAAGGAAAAGGGTTTTAAAGCCTTTTTTCCCAAAGGGGGGATTTTTGGTATTCTCCCGGGATTATTTTTTTAATTAGTAAAAATTAATTTGGCCCCCGAAAAAAGGGATCACCTAAAAAATCAAACCAATTATGTAAGTGTATTTTTTGGAAGTGCGTTTGTAGGGGTTTTATTTTTGGGGGTTTTCGGGAAAAAGGGGGGGAAAATTTCTACTTCAAAAAAAATTTTTCCTTTAAAGGGGGGAAAAAATTTTCCGGCCCATTACGGGGAACCTTTTGGAACTTTTAATTTCGGGGAAATTAAAAAAAATTTTCTTTAAAAAACCGGGGGGGGTTCCCCCTGAAAATCTTTTTTCCCCCTCACTGGGGGGGGCCCCCCAGGGGGAAAAAAAAAGTAGCTTTTTATTTGGGCCCCTTTTTTTTGAGTTCCCTTTTGGTTTAAATTTAAACCATAATTTTCCCGGGAAAAGGGGGGCCCAAAATGTATTTTGGCATCTTGAAGGCCCCATTTTTAAAAAAAAAAAAAAAATTAAAAAAAGGGCCAAAAAAAAATTTTTAAAAATTTTAATCCCCCCAAGTTGCTCATGGGCTTAAGGGAATTTTTGGAGGTCCCCTATTTAAAAAACATTTTATTACCCCCTTGGGGGTCCTCAGGGGGGCCTGTATGTCCATTTGTTTTTAAATTTTATTTTTCCCGGGAATAGGGGAAAAATTGAAAAATTGCTTTTTTTTCCCCAAATTTTTTAAAAAAAAAACTTTAGAATAAAGATTTGAAAAAATTATTGGAAATATTAGGGGTTAATATTAATTTCTTTCTAAATTTTCTTCGGGGGAAGGGGGTTTTTTCCTTTTTAAAAGGCTTTGCCCTTTAAACCCCTTTGCTTTAAAAACCCCTTTGCTGTTTTCACCCCCCCAAATTATTCAAAAAAATATTAAAAAAAAAAATTAAATTTTTTCTTATAAATTTTAAAAAATTTTTTAAATGTTTTAAGTTAAAAAAAATTTTTATCAGTTTCCCGGAAAAAGAGCCCCCCAAATTTCTTTATTCTCTACCAAAGGCCCCCCAAAAAAAAAGGGGGGGGGGGGGGGGGGGGGGGGGGGGGGGGGGGTGGGAAATGAAAAGGGGAGTAAATTTTTAAATTATTTAAAAATGAAAAATTTTTAAATTATTAGTTTGTGTTTTTGTTTAAAAAAAATAAAAAATTTTTTACTTTTGTTATATATTTTCATTTTAATACAAACCAGTCCTAAACGTCAGTTGGAATTTTTGAAATTTTGGGAAAGGGGGGGGGAAAACTCCCACCAAAAAACTTTTCCGGTGTTTTGGGGCGTTTTGGGGTACCCATACATACATAACACCTCTTCTGAGCTTTTTTTCTTGGCAGTAGTAGGAGGCAGTTGTATGGGATAGGTCACAGCCTCATACGAGAGAGTGTGGGCGCTGGTCTTTTTGCAGGATTGTCCTTGGATTTTGCAATTATTTGCCCGATTCTGACAGCTAAATTCACCATTTTTTGGTGTTTTTTTGGCTTCAACTTGATATTTTATAAGCATTTAGCATAGAGATATCAAAAAGATGGAAAAAAAGTTTGATATACCACTTATAACTCTTGTACCAGTCTGAAAACCCCAAATCTGCATGTCACATTTGTCCACTAAGCGCATTTTGAGGTTGTAGTCCATACAGCTGCAGGCTTTAAAGGGGGTTCAGGGTTTCCTCTTTTTCCCTGCCCGGGGTACATTTTTTTTCTGTAACTGATGTAACAATGTGACATCATGTTGTCATCCACAAAAAGCCTGATGTCATTGGCAGCAAAGGTTGCACCTCACCTTGCAGTCCAGCGTCAACCTTGGCAATGTTTGCGATTTCCACGCATTGCCACCAGTCTGTCGTTCACTGCAGAAATCACTGGTAAGGGGCTTTTTGTACCCGTTATCAGTAAATAACAATCCCCTTACCAAGATATGGTTTCCTCATTGTTCGAACCACACACCAGAGATACCCAAAAACTTCTGGACTCCAAAGTATTAACGCCAAGGGACACAAAAATATCTAAAACAAGACCCCTTCTGCAATCACACAGTACAAATAGCTTTAACCAAAGGTTTCCCTTCTTATATATTGCTTTAATGAGACTTCCTTTTAATAAAATCAAGGACTCGCAATAACAAGCTTCCTGAAGGGGAAAAAATACATGCAGCACTTTTTTTCAGGGACTAAACATTTCTTTCTTATATAACCCTGTCGCTTCTGCAGGGCCCGGTTTTGTCTGAAAAGGTAACAACGTAACAGTATCAGGAAACGTTGACACCTATAAGTCACTAAAACCGGATTGAAATCAGGGGATCGTTGTCAATTGTGGGGGACAGTGTGCTTATACACATGTGGATAAGCTTTAAAATTTTGGGAAAAAACAGGTAATCCGCCCAGTTGTCTCCCTTTACTTGTGAGCCTGTTTTTGGGAGAAACTGTATTTGCCTGGGGTAATCAGAGTATGTTTTTTTTTCCCTGACAAGTGTCCTCGGGGGTTTATCGAAGAATAACCAAACACCCGTTTTACTGGCATTGTTCCCAAGGGACAAAGGTTTATCCCCTTTTTGTTTCATCAAAGTCATGGGGGCTGGGAACAAACTCATCACCCTCCTCCCAAACCCAGATGCGGTCTGCTGTGGGCTGGGTATTGTCCGTGGTTGTGGTTTTTGCAGGTTTTGGGGGGTGCGGTTTGTGGTCAGGTTTTTGGGGGTGTGGGGTAGGGTTTTGTGGGTTTTTCTTCTGAGTCAGCCGCGTGGTAGTACGTGGCCCTTTTATGGTGCCCCCATGGCCGTGCCCCCCTCACTATCACCACCACTGCCTCCTCCCCCCGTCACCATTCAACCCATCGTTACAAACGTCATCTTACTATCAGGGCGGGGTGTGGGCCCCGGGATGTGCTCCCAGGTTTTCCTTTCCCCTTGGAAAAACATTGAAACATACCAGCCCCCAGCTATCGTACATATGCGCTCATGGGGGGAAAATTCATTCACTGTCACTAGAACTTTTTCAATGACCTTGAAATCCTATCACTACACTATCACTGCTATCATCGGGGGTTGTACCCCCCAAAAGTTTCCTCTTTCATCCTGGTACAGGCGACGTGAACGTGAACAAGCCCGGGCCCGCACCGAGGGCGAAGGGTGGCATCTGGGGTTTTCGTCACTATTTTCGTTATCCGGGCCTTTTTTTTGGTAACACTCCCCCTTTAAAACCCTGTATTCACTGTCACAATTTTCATCGCTGTTAGAGCATGACTTGGGGAAAAAAAGACCCCCAATCCCCCCGAGGATGACAAAATTCTTACCGAGAGGCAGGTGAAAATGGGCTGCAACATGGGGATTCCCACAATGCACCACGGGTCCCAATTTTTTTTACAGGGGGGGACACCCACCACTGAGCCCATTCTCTCCTGTGTAGGCCTACCAGGGCCTTTTTGGGGCTTTATTTTTAAACCGTAGAATTTGTGCGTAAAAAACCAGAAACGTTGGCTCTAAACGCATTTATTACGCGGAAACAGTAAAAGGGTTAAGATTGAATTGAAAGCCCTCTTTCTCTCCTTTTGGCCTTTGAGAGTATATCCCTTGAAAATTTTGGCCCCCTTTGATTGAAGGGGAAGAAATTGTTTGTTCCATTCTGTTGAGGCCCTCAGTGGTGGTGGTGTTTTGTTGTGGGAATTCCATTATCTAAGATGTGTTTTGGCCCCTGGCCCCGTGTGACCTTTGGGTGCAGGTCATCCCGAAGGGGTGCCTTTGGGTTTAAGACAATACTCTTTGGGGGTGCAAACTGCCCCCCCTCTCTCTCTGATGAGGGGGGGGGGGGGGTTTTTTGTTGATGGGGTCCTATCCTAGATTGCGGTTTGACTGGAATGGGGGTAAGGA